CCCACAATTAACCCAATTAGGAACTAAGTCCAAACTCTCGCTCATTAGGTTTAAGGGTAGACTATTAACCATCCCATTAATAGCATAAAACCCATTGGGCCCACCAAGGCCCAATAATAAATGGGCTCACCCGAGGCCCACTCTCAAAACTAAATGGCAAGCCCAACTTAAGGATCTAAGCACAAATATAGATATATATATATATATATAGATATATATATATATATATATATATATATAGATATATATATATATATATATATATATATATATATATATATATATATATATATATATATATATATATATATATATATATATATATATTTGGGCTAAGTCTCATTTTGGCCTTGAGTGTTGGGCCTAGAGTTTGGGCTTGTTGCAATAGAGTATTGGACCCGAGGAATATATATATATATATATATATATATATATATATATATATATATATATATATATATATATATATATATCTATATATATATATATATATATATATTCCTCGGGTCCAATACTCTATTGCAACAAGCCTAAACTCCAGGCCCAACACTCAAGGCCAAAAATGAGACTTAGCCCAAAAGTCCACAGTGAGGTTACGCGGGGCGGACCTCCCTTGGTACGCTCAGCGTACTCCCCAGATTCACTCTTTGGTCTTAATTAGCTAAGACATTAACTCAAATCCCAGATCAAGACTCCCTAATGGCTCCTACTCCATAAATTCAGTGACTTTAAGCCTTTGCGTGGCTGGAAAGATCACAAACACCCAAAAATCTTACTCCCTTATCTTAAAAAGCTCATAACACATGCATGGCTTGATACCAACAACCAAGATTGGATTTTTATGACATTACACCACTAATATACTTAAAAGGGGTTGGTCCTCGTCTCTGGAACTCAAGATCTCATAAAGTCTCCACCTTTTTGGGACAAAACACTAAAAGTCTCATCTATGATGCATATAACAAAAGAGTTTTAAAGTTTGAAGCTTTATACCTCTATATGAAGCTCCCAACTCAGATTTGCTCAAATTCAAAAGCTTGGACTCCCACTCCTTTTTCTCCAAAGCATTCTCTTCTCTTCAAGAAGACATAAACACTCTCAAAGGCTCACAAATGGACTCACAAGCTCTAAAACGAGGGTTAGGGCACACTTAGGGTTTGATGTCTGAGAATGGTGGCCAGAAATGAGGCCATCATATCCTTTATATTGGGGAATCACCCTAAATTAGGGTTTTCACTCTGGGCCTAGTACGCCCAGCGTACCCTCTAGTACGCCCAACGTACTAGGTGGCTCCGCTTGAAAATCACGCACATGAGTACGCTAAGCGTACACATATGTACGCCCAACGTACTCAGCTGCCACCTTTCTCAATTAAGGGACTTATCCTACCATAACTTCAAACTTCCATCGCTTCCTCGATATAACCCCGATTCCCATGAACCTCAAGCCCACAGAAAGGTGACAAGATGCCCTAAGCTTCTAGCAACTCGTCGCAACCCCAAGACCTCCTCATTCCCGATTTGCAACCCACGAACCCTAATCACAGACAATCCGAAACAGGATGTTACACATTTTATGTTATGTGGTGCACTAGCCGTAGTAGAGATATGTGGTATGATAGTTAGGTTTATACTAAGTGGTATGCTAGTGATTATATGATAATTGCATGGAATACCCCGGGGGGAGCCCGTGGCAGTTGGATGTCAGACCTTGTGGGGGAGCCCATGGCATTCCTAAGTAAAGACCATGTGGGGGAGCCCATGGCATGATGGTATAAGACCCTGGCGGGAGCCCTCGGCATCCTGATATGTTTATGCATGGCTTATGCGATATGTGTAGCTTTATAGCTAATTTGATATGTGTTATGTGGTTTGCGTGTGCGGTATGCTCTGGGGGACACACTAAGCATTAGCTTACAATTTGTGGATTTGTTTCAGGTACATCTGAGCCTAAAGGCAAGGGCACGGCGTGATGGCGCGGCGTGCAATCTCTCACCGAAATTTTATAGGACACTCATGATTCAAATAAAGTTGTAACGGATATGTATATTAAAACAATTGTTTTGGGATTTCATGGTTTATGAAAATGGTTTGATTAATTAAAAATGAAAAAACTTCTTTTTGTAAAAATTGGTTCGTTACATTAAGTGTTCTTACTTAACCCTAATCGTCATTTTATGTGAAACCCTAACCGTCATTTCATGTGAGGTGGTCACTGTTACAAGTGACTGTGACCTGTGATCGGGTATTGACTCAAGTATCATCCTGTAGGTGTTTGGAAGTGAGTTGAAGCTGGTAGAGTCCTTCATTGCTCTAGTGGTTATCTACGCGCATATCGAGGTGAGTTTCGTCTCACTGTACCCGTGGGTCGAAGGCACCAATGCCGACCCACTAGTTTTGCTTATCTGTTAGTAAAGGGATGCCCTAGGGACTGTATATAGTCATGTAGGATAGATGAGGACTATTGATCTAGGATATCTTACCTGTTCCTTGTTTGGTTGTGGTTCTAGAGTAGGATTACCTGTCCGGGTGACTATCTCACCTCTGAGTATATACGGTCGTGCATTTCCTGTATTGTTGATATTTAGTATGCTGCTATGCTGTAGTAATCTGTTAGATCTGTGTTCTGGTGTTGAGTATGCTGTTATGTTGTAGTAATCTGTTAGATCTGCGTTCTAGTATTGAGTGTGCTGTTATGTTGTAGTGATCAGTTAGATCTGTCTCCTGGTATTGAGTATGTTGCTTTGTGGTAATAACCTGTAGAACTGTATGTTATCTGTGCTTGCTGGTTATCATCTATGGAATGCCCTTACGGACTGTCGGTGGTCATGTAGGATAGCCTGAGAACTCTTGGTCTAGGCTTTCTTGCTTGTTCCTTATTTGGTTGTGGCTCTAGAGTAGGACCATCTGTTCGGGTGGCTATCTCACCTCTGGTTACTTATGGTTAACCATTCTACGGGGGTTAGGTGGTAGTGGGACTGTATGTTGTGAGATGATTAGTAGGCAGTAGTGAGCTGTATGATTGTTGTTTGCATGTATTATGTGCCTACTTAATCTTGATTGTTTATATGTCGACATATGTTTGGATGGGTTGAGGCGGTCCTGCTTTGTGCGGTAGGCCAAGATACTCGGTGCGGGCCGGCTGTAAGTCGTAGGCACCGAGACTCGGGAGGAGTGGTTTGGGTTGAGGCAGACCAGTGTAGACTGAAGGCTAACATACCCAGGGCGGTCCGGATAGACTAAAGGCCAACGAGGCGGACCAGTCCAGATAGGCTGAAGGCCCGTAAAGGCGGTCCAGTCATGCTGAAAGTTCTGTGAGCGGTCCAGGTAGGCTGAAGGCCCGGTGAGGCGGTCCAGTCAGGCTGAAGGATCTGTATGCATGCTGTTTGTTGGTACATGTTATTTGTTGTGTGGTGGTACTTTGGGGGAAACTCACTAAGCGTTGTGCTTACAATTTTGTTTATGGTTTCAGGTTCTTCAGATGATCAGAGTGGCAAGGAGAAGGTGTGAACGTACACATCCTTTGTTTTACAACAGATTGGATATTGGGAAACTCTGATTTTCAAATAATGTTTGAGAACACTATTTTTGTAAACATTTTATTAGTAAAAGGATCGTTTTGAAAAGTTTAAATTTGTTGAAAATTTTGGGACGTTACAAGTTGGTATTAGAGCCTTCGTTTGAGTGAATTGAAGGAACACTCATGTGAATCCATTCTGAAACTATGGAAAAAGATTTTCAAAATAATTTGCAAATGGTTTTCAAAATAATCAAGGAGGATGAAATGTGTACGGTCAGCCGGAGCCAGTAAATAGACCCCAAATTACCACACTGTTATTTGAGATTATATTATGTTATGTTAGAACAACATGCTAGTGATAGGATAGGGATCTTTAGATAATCGTATGATAGAATTGCCTAATATTTGATGCCTTATCTCTTATAGAATACATTATTGATTGTGGTATGACTCTTTCGTGTGTGAACTAACTATTGAGTGAATGCGCTAAGTCACATACTACATGGGTTAAATGGTCTTAGGGTGGGGGATTTGGTTCTGCTGCGCAGCTCTTGTTTTAGTCCAACCGTTGTAGGATTGAATCCTTTAACCTAAGATTGTTTAAGTTGTGTATTATGTGATAATGTTCATGCAATAGTTATTTGGCACCAATGGAGGGTCATGTGGTAGTTGATGGAAGGATGAGTTATGTGGGGTCAGCTGACCAGTCGCGATATAGGTAGCTTTCGTCTATGATGTGATGACAGACTGCATGAGTATGCTAGAGTGCAGCGTATTGTTAGGGTTGTTGTGATGTTCCTCTCAGAAAACTATGGGTAGGTGTGGAAGGTAGTATGGGTCCGTACTACTGAAAGCACAAGACCCGTACGCATATCAGGTAAGTCACAAACCTTAGAGTTTTGTTGGGAATTGGTTCCCTTAGTGTTATATGGGTTTTGTCTTATATCTCCTTGGTTTGTTTTCATTATGGTGAGTACGAGACAATTTGAGGCTGGATCCGGATCAGGATTAGGAGCAGATGGTCAGGATGAGCTAGCATTGACCGAGGACCATGTCAGGGAGATCATTTGTGAGGAGGTTGTTTCCTTGTCCGGGGGCAGATATTGGAGCTGGTTGAATCTGTCAATGCTGCGATGATGGAGTACTTTGATGACCGATATGCTACACTTTTTGAGGTTGATGTTGCTGCAGCCACCGCGACTGTTGCTACTATTAGAGCACGAGGAGAAAGAGATTTCTAGTATCGGGAATTCAATCGTACGAAGCCCCCAGAGTTTGATGGAGTCTCGGACCCGATCATGGCGATAAGATGGTTGTCTGATATGGAGGGTTGTTTCTTCACGTGTTCTTGTCCAGATAACCAGAAGGTCAGGTGCGCTCTAAACAATTTGAGGTCCGGGGCAAGGGATTGGTGGAGACTGGTGACTAGTTCTTATACTCCTAAGCAGAGGGCTGCGACGACTTGGGAACAGTTCTCGGAGATGTTCCTTGCAAGGTATATCCCCCGGGTAGAGAGGGAGAGACTAACCCAGGAGTAAGTGGATCTGAGGCAAACGACCGAGTCGGTGACAAAGATCACATGATGTTCACTGAAAGGGCCTTGTTCAGTTATGAGTTCGCAGCTTCAGAGCAGGCTCAGATGACTCAGTATTTGAGCATGCTCAAGACGGATATTCGACAGTTCGCGTCCATCCAGCGCTATAACTCTCTCTTTGAGCTTCAGGATGCCGCGAGGAGGGGATAGATTGAGATAGAGAACCAGGAGAGAGAGCCATGTTAGACTCTGGATTAGTCCCATCCTATAACAAAGCGGTTCAAGTCCGCCGGCCAGAGTTCAGGATCAGTTGGAGGGAGGCGTAGATCTGTTGCATGTTGTCGGTGTGGCGATGAGGGTCATTTTGGAAGATACTGCGGGCGTAGTGTACGAGTTTGTTTTCATTGCGGTCAGGAAGGCCACATTGGAGCTCATTGTCCCCTTCTCAATGAGGTGCTGGATCCTTCGCCCTTAGGTTGGCAGTTACCCGATGGTCGTCAGGGGACCGCCGCCCGTGGACCGAGATTTGAGATCAACAGTTCTTCGATTTAGCAATTGTGGTAGTATTGGTATTTATCTATCATTTTTGTTTGTGTTTAAAGGTTCATTTGTAATTTTGGATGATCAATTAAACGAAATTATCTTATTTAGCTTTGTTTTACCTGATCTCTTGTTATGTATTGATTAATTATCTTTGTCCTCGATTGTATGCGTATTGGAAGTTGTGAATATTGTGTGAAATTCAGATCCTACCATGTATCATGATATCAATGATTGGGATCAAGTAATAGAGTTCAAGTTAGTCGGAGTATCGAAGGACTATGAAGCTCTAAGTCTCTAGCATATTTCAATTGGGGGAGAGCGGAACCTCGCAGTAGGAAGACTCTTAGCCAATATTCAGTTCTATTTCAGATTTCTCTAAGTCCCAGATTTCTGCGCAACTGCTAACCTTCGGGTTTCGCGAAAAGACCACCGTCAGTTGTTGGATTTTTCCCTTTGATTCGTATTTGTCTTAGTAGTGATAGCATCTTTACGGGGTGCTTGTGCTTATACCCTAAGGTGTTAGGAGCCTAGGTTGAGGGCATGCTTGTATGTTATCGTCTGATTGGGGGTGAGCTTGAGTGTTGATAGTGTATAGCTCAGCTGATTTGGCGGAGCAGAAAAAGAGTGTGGTTCAGTTCATTATGAGACCAGTTAGTTTTCATTGAGGTGATGCCCTTTTGGTGCGGAATTGGAGTGTCGACGTTTAGCCGAGAAGCTCAGAGACCGATTAATTCCGCGGATGTTTGTCCATCTTGGTTGCAGTGAGGGAATACATCTTGAAGTAGAAGCGAGAGTTGATTTCGAGGATGAAAAATAATTTAAGTGGGGGAGAATTGTAACATTCTGTTTAAAAATAAAATAAATTAAATAAAATAAATAAAATAAAATAAAACAAGTAAATAAATAAATAAATAATAAGCCCTAAATCCTCGAGATATATTTTATATTTTATTTTATTTTTACCCTAAATCCGTAATAATTGATTAGTGCTAGCCAGGGGAGTTAAATGTTATAATTTCAAGAATTTGGAGCCTAAGTTTGGAATTGGAGACGGGAGATCAAACCCGTCACCCATCTCATCCGTTCGCCCCATATAACACCCGATACCTTCTCAAACCTTAACCCTAATCATTATTGCAGCCGCCACCTTGTATCCCCAACGTCCAGCCGCTGCCACCACTCCCTTGACGCCGCCTTGAACGGCCGAGAGTCGCCGCCGCTGCACCCACTGTCGACGAAGTCGGGAACCCCGAAGCCAACCCTGTATGCTGCTGTTTCCCGCGATAGTGAAGACCGACATTGTGTGGCCGCTGTAGCATCTTCTTCTCCGGTAATGGATAACCCTTCCACCCTTCGCTTCTTCTGCAATATCTTCGAGTTCCGTTACCGCCGCAGCCCGAGCGGCTGCTACTTTTTGTTGCGTTCTTCGTCTGTCGTCTGCCACCGCGTGGGTGGCGGTGTTGTGTGTGTCATTTTCGTGTGTATGGATGCGTGTTTCAGAATATGTCGGCGTGTGCGTATACTTTGGTTGGCCGCCAACCATGGTGGCTGTCGCCATTGTTTCCTTTTCTGCCACCACCAGCTGCCGTGTGGTGGTGGCTATGTGTGTAAAATGGTGTTTCTGTGTGTGTTTATTTCAGTTGAATGTTGTTTTGGGTGTTGCTTGACCGGAAACCGAAGAAAACCCACCACCACCACCGTGAGGTGGTGGCTGCCACTTCCTGCCGCAGCCGACCACCGTTTTTGGTGGTTATATTCGACTTTTTCTTATTCTTTTTGGTGCTAGTGTGTGTGCGTGTGTTGTAGGAAATTGTATGTGTGTTGGATTATTGGAATTATTACTCAAACTGTCGCTGTGTGCGGGTGGCTGCCGCCTCCTACCACCATGGACCGCCGCCGACCACCACTGCTTGAGGTGGCAGTGGGTGGTGCCCATTTTATTATTTATATATTTCTTTAATTAGTTAATCATTTAACTTTATGAGTTGGAAACCCTAATTAGTGTTTACAAAACCCTAATATCAAGAAAACCTTAATTTTGGAGTTGGTCAGACCCGCGTTAAAACTATTAATTAAACCTAAAATAATAACTTAATAATTCTCCACAATTAACGTGATGTAATATTGGACTTAATGGATTAAGTCCTTAATGGGTTTAGCGAGGAACACTAACCCTAGTTATCATTTTATATAAAAACCCTAGAATCGAGGAGCTCTATTTTGGGAAATAATCGGGCGCGTATTTGGGCTGTTGATTGGATTATTATTTCACTCGAGAACGACTAAGTCAACCTTAATCAGTCATACCCTTAAGTGATTAAGTCCTTAATGGGCTAAGTGTTCTTATTAACCCTAATTGTCATTTTATGTGAAACCCTAACCGTCATTTCATGTGAGGTGGTCACTGTTGCAAGTGACAATCACCTATGATCGGGTATTGAATCAACTATCATCCTGTAGGTGTTTGGAAGTAAGTTGAAGCTGGTAGAGTCCTTCATTGCTACAGTGGTTATCTACGCACATATCGATGTGAGTTTCGTCTCACTGTACCCGTGGGTCGAAGGCTCCAATGTCGACCCACTAATTTTTGGTTATCTGCTAGTAGAGGGATGCCCTAGGGACTGTATATAGTTATATAGGATAGATTCTCTTACCTGTTCCTTGTTTGGTTGTGGTTCTAGAGTAGGATCACATGTCCGGGTGACTATCTCACCTCTGAGTATATACGGTCATGCATGCCCTGTATTGTTGATATTTAGTATGCCCCTACGCTGTAGTAATCTGTTAGATCTGTGTTCTGGTGTTGAGTATGCTGCTATGCTGTAGTAATCTGTTAGATCCGTGTTCTGGTATTGAGTGTGCTGCTATGCTGTAGTGATCAGTTAGATCTGTCTCCTGGTATTGAATATGTTGCTTTATGGTAATAACCTGTAGAACTATATGTTATCTGTGCTTGCTGGTTATCATCTATGGAGTTCTCTTAGGGACGGTCGGTGGTCATGTAGGATAGCCTGAGAACTCTTCGTCTAGGCTTTCTTTCTTGTTCCTTGTTTGGTTGTGGCTCTAGAGTAGGACCATCTGTTCGGGTGGCTATCTCACCTCTGGTTACTTATGGTTACACATTCTATGAGGGTTAGCTGGTAGTGGGACTGTATGTTGTGAGTGAGATGACTAGTAGGCAGTAGTGAGAGCTGTATGATTGTTGTTTGCCTGTATTATGTGCCAACTTGATCCTGATTGTTTATATGTCGACATATTATGTTTGGATGAGTTGAGGCGGTCCTGTTTTGTGCGGTAGGCCAAGATACCCGGTGCGGGCCGGCTGTATGTCGTAGGCACAAAGACTCGGGATGAGTGGTTTGGGTTGAGGCGGAATAGTGTAGACTGAAGGCCAACAGACACAGGGCAGTCCAGATAGACTGAAGGCCTGCGTGGCGGACCAGTCTGGCCGAAGGCCCGGAGAACGGTCCAGATAGGCTGAAGGCCCGGTGAGGCGGTCCAGTCATGCTGAAGGTTCTGTGAGCGGTCCAGATAGGCTGAAGGCCCGGTGAGATGGTCCATTCTGGCTGAAGGCTCTGTATGCATGCTGTTTGTTGGTACATGTTATTTGCTGTGTGGTGGACTTTGGGGGAAACTCACTAAGCTTTGTGGTTACAGTTTTGTTTATGGCTTCGAGTTGTTCAGATGATCAGAGTGGCAAGGCGAGGGCGTGACCGTACACATCCTTGGTTTTACAACAGATTGGATATTTGGAAACTCTGATTTTCAAATAATGTTTCAGAACACTATTTTTGTAAACATTTTATTAGTAAAAGGATCGTTTGAAAAGTTTAAATTTGTTGAAATTTTTGGGACGTTACAGCTAAGATCAACGATGATATATTTTTAATTTTTAGCAAATTAGAAGGTATATGAGGACTTTTTTAAAGGTTCGTAAGGGTAAATTTGTCACAAAAACTAATAATCTTAATAAACAAATTAATTAAATACCACTAAAAAGAAGAAAACAATTCCTAAAGTATCTCACTTATCTCTTGTTTTTTTATACATTCATTCTCTCTCTCTCTCTCTCTACCTCTCTCTCTTTCTCTCACGCGTCTTCTTCGTTCCGCCTTCGATATAACCGCTGTCGTTTCCTTCCTTCCTCCCGCCATCGCCTCGCCTCCGGATGCTGATCGCTCCTCTGCGTTAATCGCCGTTTCCTTCCTTTGAGATCGTGGTTCTTCCTTGATATATCCTTACCGCCTACAAAATTTGATACTAAGTCGGATATTGGTGGTTTATCTGGTGATGTTCAGTCATGCTCCTCCGCCTAACGACGAAACTTTCTTTAATTCTCCGTCCAGCCACTACTGCGTCTACTAATCGATTTCATAGGTATGTAGTTCTGTATATATTGTTTTCTAAATACACTCAACAATTTATCAAAAATTCAGAATTGTGAGTGTAGTTTACCTTGACAATCCAAATTCATCAATCCTGAAACTCATATAATTTTTCGATTTATGATTCTTAGTGTAAATTCGTATCTTATCACCTTAATTGATCCATCAAATTTAGATAAATCAACATATAGACTCAATCGTCTCCTAATTCGTTCTTAAGGTTGTAGACTGAGAATACATTAGAACCTATTTGTGCATTTACAAAGGAAATCGTTAGGGTAAGGTTAGTTTCATCACTTCCTCTTCGATCTTCAAACGCTTAACGTGCCTACTCAAAACGTAAGTTTAATTTTTTCCTTGTTATGCAATTTTTACTTCTTTCGTTTATGAATTGTTCTTATGGATGTTATAGATGGTTTATACTAACGATTTATTTCGCTATAATGTACAATTTTTTTTTGTTGTGTTTGATGATAAATCTAGATATATACACCATATTCGTCTGATTAATTATCGGATAAGAATTTCAAAAAGTGATTATTGTGATGATTAATATACCTCGAAGATTATTGTGATGATTAATATACTCGTTTTTTTTTTTTTTTTTTTTTCATGATAAATTGTTCCTATGAAATTTCTCTATTAAAATGTAGGATGTAATCATCTAACAATCTTCTTGTGCACTAGACTTATCAAATAGCTTTAGAAGTAGCACCTACACTAGCTGTGACAGACATTCTAGTAAATATTCCATCACTTGCAAAACTAAAACTACAAATATTCATATATTTTTGTTCTAAAATCTTTATTTTTCCAACTCAGTTGTATATAGCATGGTTTTCAATAGGAATGGTAGCAATTCTATGTGTTATAATGCCTGAGGTATATTAATCATCACAATAATCAAATTTTAAAATTCTTATTTGATAATTAATCAGATGAATATGGTGTGTATGTAATTTTGAGATTCATAAATCTAGAAATTGTCCTTGTTTGATGATATTTTATTACTTACAATGTCATCTTCTTTCTGTGGTTACCGCCCTTAATGCACTTAATGTAGACAAACTTGGTAGAAAGGCATTCTTACTGGTAAGTTCAATATATATTATATACCAACATCATATTTATCCCCTGATGTGTTAAATGTTATTATTATATAAAATTATATTATTACAATAAAGGTTATATGCAACTAAATGTATTATGGCTGACTTTTGACTCATTTTGCTTGTTTCCCTTTAGCTCAATCCTTCTAATATTACCCATTTGACCAAAAAAAAAAATAATACCCTATTCAACCTATAGCTAGGTCGCCAAAAATTAATATATACCATCTTTAATAACATGTAATTTATATCTCAAGGTTTCTTTTGTGGGGATGACTTTGGGCTCTATATAACAACATCTTCATTCTACTTCAAGGTAATCATCACACACTAATCCTTTACATTTTCTTTTCTTACTTCTTTGGAATAAATTCTACGCATGAAGGGTACTATTTTTAATATTTTATCTTTTTTCCATGAATTTCTCAACTAGAGAAGAAAATAATATTACATTGTTTTTTTTTCATGTTATATATGTTGTAAAGACTACAAATCATGTAATTTAAGAAAATGTAGGACTTAATCATCTTACAATCTTCTTGTGCACTAGACTTACCAAATAGCTTTAGGAGTAGCACCTGCACTAGCAACAACGGGCATCATCGCATTCTGGTAAATATTCCATCACTTGCAATACTGAAACTACAAACATTTATATAATTTTTTTCTAAAATATTTATTTTTTCCAACTTAGTTGTATATAGCAGGGTTTTCAATAGGAATGGGAGCAGCTCTATGGGTTATAATGCTAGATGTGTGTAGATATATGGATGTAGAGGTGTAAAAGACAAGAATAGGGATTTATAGTTGTCACCTTCAACTATGGTACATTCTAGTCTTTATTTTAATATATATTGGTCAACTGTGGCATTAGTATCTTGTGAAGTAATTAATTGGCCAATGGCAATAATCAATTACAAATCATATGTGATTTGTGTGAATTGACATAATATTTTAGTAATTAATTGGAAGCGTATAACTGCGTAGTGATTCACATGTAAATCATAAGTGAATCATATATGAATTGCATGTGATTCATATGTAAATCACGTGTGATTCACATGTAAATCACGTGTGATTCACATGTAAATTACAAGTGCATCAAATATGAATTATATGTGATTCACATGTAAATCACAAGTGAATAACCTATGAATTACGACTATATGCACACATGCATTTTGTGTAAGTGTCCATTTATTATTTTTTTAAAATTTTCTTGTAAATTTCACATTTGAATATTAAAAGATACAATCACATGTGAATATCACATTTATATAATCACATGTGAATCTTACATGATATAATTACAAGTAAATGTTACATGATATTTATACATATGCATTTTGTGAGTGTTCTTGCATTAATTCGTTGTACTAAGACACGTGTCATTGCTTCAAATGTAAATCACTACTGAATCACATATGAATGACATATGATTCACATGAAATCACAAGCGAATCACATATGAAGTATATGTGATTCACATGTAATTCACATATGAATTACATGTGTACGTGTTATTCGTTAATTATTTTTTTAAAATTTATTGTGAATTTCATATTTGAATCTTAAAAGATATAATCACATGTCAATATCACAATATATAATCACACGTGAATCTTACAAGATATATACATATGTATTTTTTGAGAGTGTTCTTGCATTAATCAATTTTTTTAAAATTTTATATTTTGAAGAATTTGTGGAAAATACTGAAGATGTAAAAAGTGATCAATTGAAGAAACTATGGAAATCTTGACACGAACAAATGATAACATTTTAAATTTTTGTAGCATTTTTTGTTTTTATATTTATCTTGCATCGGATAAAATACTTGTACAATTGTGTTTATAGATTAGTAAATAAAAATGAGTTTTTTTTATTATTTACTTACCAATATTATATATATATATATATATATATATATATATATATATATATATATATATATATATATATATATACACTTGAAAAACTATGTATATATGCACCTAAAACGTTGATTTTTTGGTTAAAAAATTATTGTTATTTTTAAATATTTCAGTTTCTTTTTTTTACTGTATTTAAAAAAAATGTAGTTTATTTATTTATTTTATTTATTTATTTATTTTTTTAAATTTTCATTTTTTATATTAATGGTTTCTAAAAACAATTAAAAACAAACTGCATTTTTTTTTAAAATCGAAAATTATTGTTTAAAAAAAATCCGAAAATTTCATTTATTAAGTTAATCTTTAGACATTTGTATTAATATTTCTAATAATTGAAAACGTTAAACATTAAATGATATTGGTAAGATGACGATCATGCCCTTAACGAGTTAAATTTAATCTAACGCTCCACCTTTAGTTTTCGGACTCTTGAGAAACTATGAGTTTTCAACGGATCTTATATATATATATATATATATATATATATATATATATATATATATATATATATATATATATATATATATATATATATATATATATATAGGGTGTGAAGACTCTTTTTTCGGTGAGAACATCTTAAAAAAATTAAAAAAAAATACAAATCATAAAATCGAGTATAGTACTATATCGGAGAGAAAAAAGATTGGAATTCTTTTTGGATCATTAAAATTGAATTATGGATCATGAAAAATGATTTATGGATCATAAAAATGATCCATGCTTCAATTTCAACGATCCAATTTTTTTTTTCTCTTCTTTATAGTACTATACTCGATTTTATGATTTTTATTTTTTTTCAATTTTTTTACGTTGTCCTCACCAAAAATAGAGTCCTCACCCGATCCTATATATATATATATATATATATATATATATATATATATATATATATATATATATATATATATATATATATATATGAGATCCGTTGAGAAGTCACAGTTTCCGGAAAACCTGATAACTAAAGGTAGAGTGTTAGATCAAAATTTTCAGATTTTAATTTTTTTTTCGATATTTTAACAAAATACATATTTTTGAAATATTTTTAGAAAACATGAACACTATAGTAAAAGTAACTCATAAAAAACCTATTTTTATTTACTAATCTATAAACACAATAGTAAGTATTTTATTCGATACAAAATAAAAAATATATATTTTTACCAAATTTCAAAGGATTTTCATGTCTTCGTGTCAAGATTTCCATATTTTCTTCAATTTATCATTTTTCACATCTTCAATATCTTCCACTAATTCTTCAAATCTACAAAACAAAAATAAATGATTAATACATGATTCACATGTGATTATATCATGTAAGATTCACATGTGATTGTATCTTTTAAGATTCAAATGTAACATTCACAAGAAAATTTAAAAAAAATAATTAACGAAGAACATATTCACAAAATTGTGACATTCACATGTGATTATATAAATGATATTCAAATTCCATTGTATCTTTTAAGATTCAAATGTGTGCATATAAACCTAATTCATATGTGATTAATTTGAGATTTACATGTAAATCACATAAAATTCATATGTGATTCACTTGTAACTCTGCAATATTGTAATATCCCAAAATCACAATAAAACTTTTCATTTTTAATTAAAGAGAAATCATTGTTTTTAAACAAACACGTGTAATAAAACTCAAGATCAACTACAATTATTCCAAAATCAGTGTATGTGAGTTCCCCCAAGGTACCACCACACAAAAATATAACAACATGCATATTGGGTCCACAACCATCGGGCTGGATTACCCCTGAGCCCAAAGCATGAGTTTGGCTTGCCTTACTGGCCCACAACCCATGTTTGGGTTGCTCCTGAATCCACAACATAAGTCTGGCTTGCACTACTGGCCTTCAGCTTATGTTTGGCTTTCTCCTGAGCCCACATCATAAGTATGGCTTGCCTTCCCGGCCTATAACTTATGTCTGGATTGCTCCCGGGTTTGTTGGCTTCCGCACAGAGTAATATTGCCTCAACCCATTCGTACTATGTCGACATATGCAACAGATAATCATATAAACATCAAACAAATAATCATACGAATCTAACAGATCACTACATTATAACAACATCCGAAATCATGATACATAATCTACCGGGCCGACATTAGTGCCTTCGACCCCCAAGTACAGTAAGGAAACTCACCTCAGAGTCTGAAAATATAGCAGAAAAGAACGCTGCTCCAACTGTCAACTCTACAGGTCACCTATATAGAAAATAGTGACCTAGATTCAATTCACATCATAAAATACCCAAAATGCCCCTTAGTGAAACTTGGTCAATATTTTGGTCAAAGTTCAAAAGTCAACAAGTCAACTCAAACTGAGTATGCTTGACGTACTCAGCCATTACGCCCCTCATAGTGCATTCTCTTCGATAGATTATGAGGTATCGACCAGGTACGTGCATCGTACCCTCAAGTATGCCGATCATACTCTGTTTCCACATTTTCTCTAATAAGGTGTCCACATATTAAACCCTAATATCTCACAATATCCTAAGCCACATAAAACATGCATGGAAGCAAGTGAAGGGTCAAGATCCCATTTTTATAACTATAAACACTCCAAAACATACAAAAGGACAACTTATTTGGTCTAGAGTAGTCTATACTCACTTAGACCAAGAATATCAGACTAAAGTAGATAACTTTTAAAACTATCATGATCTAAAGAGATAATAATAAAGTTTAGACCTTTATACCTTTTGGGGGTTGCTCAAGAAGTGTAAAACTTAGATCTACAAAGCTTGGAGCATCTTCCTTGCTTTCCAATGGCTCCCTTCCTTCAATGGTGGACACCAAACACCAAAATGAGCTCAAAACTCCACAAATGGGGATTAAGGTTTTGTAAGGGACGAAGTGGGCAATGAAGGCTGATGAGCGAAAATGTATTGGGAGTTAACGATGCTTAAACAGGGCTCGAACCCTAAATATTAGGGTTTGAACTTCAACCACATACGCCCAACGTATATAAGTGTACACCCAATGTACTTAACAAAATGCACATTTCTCATTAACGAACCATGGGACCAATTTTGCAACAAAATTTCATATTAAGGGTTGAAATGGAAAATACCTGCATCATGGGTGTTACAATTCTCCCCCACTTGAAACAGACTTCATCCTCGAAGTCTGGTGTTGCGAATAACTCTGGGTAGTGGTCTCACATTTCTACCTCGGGTTCCCAAGTCCATTCGGAACTCTTCCGATGCTGCCATTAGATCTTGAGCGAAGATACCACTTTTTTGCGCAAGGCCTTAGTCTTCCTATCCAGAACTGTCACTGGTCGCTCAACATAATTCAGACAATCAACAACCGAAATATCATCCAGAGGAACAACTGATGAATAGTCAGCCACACACTTCTGAAGCTGACAAACATGGAGGTGTTGTGAATCTGATTGAGCTCCTTAGGCAAATCCAACCAATAGGCTACCCTACCTACCCTGGCTAATACTCGAAACGGTCCAATATATCGGGGTCCTAACTTAACCCTCTTCCTGAAGCGTGTTACACCCTTCTAGGGTGATACTTTCAGTAAAACCATGTCGCCGACTTGGAACTCCAACTCCAATCGACGCTTGTCAGCATAACTTTTCTGTGACCGACCTCTCCCTTACAGGCTGGAGTACAACTTATGCGGGCCATAGTGTGGAGGATCGGTCCCTTGCGTTCCTAGAGGCCCACGATCGTGTGACTAAAGGGGCTTCACAGAAATGGCCATAACTTTGGCTACGAGACTCCGTTTTGGGCCGACAATCAGTCAAATTGAAGCTTGGAACAAGGAGCACACAGTGATAAGTTGCCAAAGGGGAATTGCCTATTTTTGAGTCCAGAAATTTCTTTCTAAATGGAGTTATGACAATTTTGTTATTTTTCCTTAATTTTTGGGTTTTGTTTTTGGGTTTGTATCTGGACCATGGACCTTTAGGGTTCCATTATAATTTCTGCTTCTTATTTAACCGTTGATGATGTAATTTGCGTGGTCGATCATCAATTTTCTGAACTTTCAGTTTTCTCCCAATATTTT